TCCCTCATTGGCCACCTCAGTCTTTCCTTCCTGCCATGTGCTCTATTCAATTGGTCTTATGGATGAACATTCTATTTTATATGCGGGTTTTGCTTTTATCAGTCATATACCTGGGTGCGTTTTTATTAGACCTAACAATTTAACCATTGGCTCTTGGATTTTTTGCTGTCAACAATTGGCTGTTTGATAGGAGCCACGGATCATGGGAAAAATTTTCTCAGGATTATGAGGGAATTTCAAAAATCATACATCCTGCCAAATTTTCAGTGGGGTCATTCTGCATAGATGACATATATATATATATCACGTTAGTTTGATCATTATCTGTACTGCCTATCACCCTGAATATCAAGTTACTATTATTGCGTCTTAAGGCACATCAGTATTGTACAAAAAATGGCTCCTACTGCAAAAAATTTATCGAAGACTTGAACTCCAGCAAAGACACATGGAGTTTGCATGCGAAGATTGTCAGGAAATGGCCGGTGCCCAGAAAGATCCCTCCTTATGCTGTGTGGAAGGTATCCATGCTATTAGTGGATGAACAGGTATTTGTTTATTTCATTTTCACCATGTTCCATCTAACTTTTACAAATACCCTATCACAGTTTCTTCTTCTATATGTAGGAAAGTAGGATTGAAGCATTTACCACTCAGAAATCACTAATTAGACGTATCATTGAAGAACTTCGGGAGGGGGTAGTGTATCATTTTGAGAACTTTGAAGTGCTCCTTAACAAAGATGAGTACAAGGTTACAGATTGTAAATATAAGTTAAGCTTTCATTGTTCAACATCGATCGAGGAAAGTGATCTTTCAATTCCATTTGATGCATTCAACTTCGTTACAATCAAGGATGTTGCTGAGTTTAATGCCAACAATGAAGACTTGATAGGTTGGATCACATACTTATATTGCTTAGCATTTTGTCATTGTTTAATTCTTTTAAGAAAAGTTGGATTTAAAGTCTTTTTTTTTTTTAATGTTTTCCAGATGTTATTGGGTTTTTACAATCATTTGGAGATTTGAAGGATCATAAAAAAGAAGGGGGTAGTACAAGGAAGCTCAGTTTCACAATTGCGGATGAGAAGTGATTAGCCCAGTTTATAGTTTATATTTTAAGATGTTTTGTGTTTTATTTTATTAGTTGTCCCTGTTACTATGTATTGGATTTTCACAATTATTTCAACCAGTTTTCTTATATATATTTTCGTTATATGTGCCTAGAAACAGGATTTTTTTCCTTTTTCTGCAGTGAGAGATCTGTCAATGTGGTAGTATTCGGTCAGTGTGCCAATGAAATATTTAGAGCCAAAGGGGAAGACTTACAACCACCTATTGTTGTGCTCCTTCGTTTTGCAAGAATCAACAGGGGAAAAGGTACGTATATGTATCATCACATGTTATTAAAGGTGTTACCTCATTGCTATTCATGTCTATCATCAAGCTTTAACCTTGAAAATCTAGGTTTCGGACATTTAACTAATCAGTTTGAGGGGACCAAGGTAGTTTTCAATCCTGACCTCCCTGAGACCAAGAAACTACTTGACAGGTTAATTTCATCAACCATTATTAAGTTATTACTTATTAAGATTAAGGTTAGCATGAAAGTGACCAATTATTAATAATTTTCCAACACTTATGTTTAGTCTTGAAGATAATCCAGTTGCAAGTCAAAGTTTATCCCAGGTATCAAGCTGTGTCATTGCAACTGCTACAAATGAGTCACTCTTAAGTTTCCCTTGCAGGATTAATGTAGCTCAGATAATGAACTTCACTGAGGTATAATTTTATTTACATTGATCGAAAAACAACTCTGTTATCAACTTGCTTTTAATTGAGGTGCTTATATATGTTTGGTATTTAGCCATGTGAGGTTGTCACTAAGTTGGTCATTGAGAAGCTTGAAACAGCATATGGTTGGAATTACGATGGATGTCCATGTGATAAAAAACCATTCTATGTCAATGGGAAACTTAAGTGTAGCGCATGCAACACAGAAGTCAAGATGACTGAACCCAAGTATGAAATATTCTTCAAGATAAATATACCATATTATTTTACTATTAGTGACTTATCTTTATTCCTTTTTAACTGCATAAGTAATATTTACTTGGTTAATACATATAGGTTCAAAGTTCATTACAAAGCAAGGGATTCCACTGGTAAATGTTCAATCATTTTTTTCAATCGCTTAGCTTCTCAGTTATTGAACTGTGTTGCTGCCGACCTCAAGGATCAAATGATTAAGGTGATCTCTTTTGGGAAATTTTGTCAAAATAAATTTGTTCTGCTGAATATCAGTACCGCATTTTAACACATTACACTATGTGATGCTAACAGATGGGCAAGCCTATGGGATTTCCTAAAGAGCTGTCCGATTGCATAGGGAAGGAAGTCCTGGTCAAACTTAAAATCAAGGACTTCAACATCGGTCACCCCAATAGTAGCATGGGTGTCTCACAGTTTTCTGATGATATGCACATAATCGAAAAGTTCACATATAGCGAATACCAGGAAAATCCTCCAACTCTAACTGAGGTATTAACTATTAATATTGATCATTTATACTTATAATCAAAGATCTTTAAGCTGTAATATATCAAAGTGAGGTACCTAATATACTGAAAATATGTTTAACAGGCTTCGCCGGTTGAATCGAGTGCGTCAAAATCCTCTCCAAAAATTGTCCTTGTGGAGGCAGAAGAAGATGATGACCTGACTGATTCACAGATTGTCACTCCAGAGGACACTAATGCAAAGAGGAGGAAACTGAGCAAAACCATCTCCCAAGCAGTTGATGACGGTGGTCTCTCAGAGATGTTGACCCCTACATTCAGCTCAACCAAGCTTTTGAAAACCATAAAAAAAGAAGTTTGTTGACTAAAGAGCAACCTCATTTTGTTTGTTTAGTCACGCCATTTCAACTTCAATTTTTGGATTTAGTCTACTATTTCAATCATCCAGGCTTTTGTGATCTAGACATATTTTAGAGGCACCAAATTAATATGGTGTCATTATCATGTTTAATTGTGAAATGAATTTCAATTCCTTATGCTGGATGTATTTAAATTCTTCTAATAGACAAATTAATTGAAAATTATTGCCCACAAGATATGGTCAAGAAACATTAACCAAATAATGTAGAACTTTCCATCCTAATATATACTTTATAAATTATAATTCTATAGTCTTTTCCAAATGCTAAATTAATTTCTAATAATTTATTCTATGGACTCCAGTTCAGGATTTTCTCTTAGAACACTTATATTAACTCAACAAGTTAAAAAGTTTTGCATTTGATTTATTGAATATTTAATATTAATAATTGGTGCACAAAATGAATAGCATATTTAATATCAATACATATGAGTTTTGGGAGTATATCAATCAAATGTTATAATCATATCCAAGATTGCCATAACACGCTATTTTAATTATATGTCTTACCTCTCATTGACGTTAAATATATTATTGAGAGAATGTAAATAAAATCTGGCTAAAATATCTAAATCCAAATTATGATTTACACTTCTAATAAAATTCTAATTAGGCCATGCAAGTGGTCTTCATATCTTATGATTATTTTTCAGGTTGAAAAACGCATAAATAATTCTTAGAGTGTTTAAAATTTGTGTGTGTATACATAACTAAAACTTTCAAAAATATGTTAATCAAACACTTTAAATTACAATATAAGTTTTAGAGAAAAATATTTTGTTTAAAAAATTTTTTTTGTCATTGATATAAATAATATTTCACAGCAGAATAAAATAAAAAATATTTTTGACCTTTTGAATCAGATGCTTAGTTAATAAAACTAAAGTAATAAAATTATTTTTACTTATTTCATATCATTTATTCCTTACTATTACTGTTCTTTATTTTCTACGAGCATATTTCAATGTATAGGCTAATAGGATAACAGTGGTAGTGTCATCATTCCTTACTATGTGGGTTTGATAATGGCAGTTATTGAAAAGTTACGCTCAAAAAATCAAAGTTACAACTTTTAAAAAATAATTTTATCACCATATTTACCAATCAACATAATTCACTTGTAGTTTAGTTTTTTTAAAAAATATTTATTTGTACATGGAACTTAGTGAGAATATTATTCTTTAAAAGTTTCCATCACTTCTTGGGTTTCGTGTACAATGACATATCGTTCTTCTGTGATCATGTTTACACATACAATTTACATGGCTATTATAGGGTGAGGTGCCAATCCTAATCATTATTGCATTTTAGAGTCCCAATGCTATACGCTGGAGTTCATTCTTCTATGCTCAGATATCTCTCTCCTTCCGATATGAATGCAGAATTAGCCTACTTTAATGATGATTCCTGAACGATTTCAAAAACCGATGGGGATGATCCTTATCAATATATAATAAAAAATTATTTTAAATGTAAAACTTTGACAATACTCCAACCATATTTTATATTTTTTAGAGTGTGATCCAAGTGATCAACGATACAGCCAATCAAAAATCATATTTGATCTCCAACTCATTAATCCCTTGTATGGATAAAGTAGCCAGTAGCCAATAGTGGGTAGACCAATCACATATCTTGCTTCATTTTTTTGCTTGCCGAAACACATATCTTATTTATATTATAGCTCTTTTATTCATCATGTCAGCCTTATCAGTCCAACAACCTTCTTTGGGCAGAGAGAAAATGGTACAGCACAAGAAGATGACCAGACAACAGAGAAAAAAGAACAATATGTTGTTAGAACTGTTCCAAATTTTCTTATGGCATTCTTCAAAATATATTTGTATATACTCTTCATACTAAAGTATTCTTCTTTACTGTAGATGATCATGATAAGGCATATCAGAATATCTCATCAGTTGAAATGCAGATGAAGGAATGCCGATCTCAACATGATGGCGCACAGAACATAATTCAGGATCATTTCTCTATAAGGTCTAAAGCGGTTTATGAAACTCCAACGAAACCAATTTTACCCGACATTACTAATTCCCAAACCCTTTACAAAGAAGGAGGCTTTGAGGTTAATCCAACTTCATTTGCAAATCATGCTCAACCGGAAGACATTCAATATTTCTCAACCAATGGGGAAAGAGCTTTTTGTCCCAAGAGACGTCGTATTGAGAATGTCTCAAGTCTTGCTGAGAATCTAACCCATGAGCTTTATCATGACACCAGAAGAGGTGTGTGCATGTTTCATCCATATATAATGTCCTTTACTATATTATTTGCATTGAATCAGCTAACATATTTCTGAAAATTTTGTGAAGAGGATATTTCAGCCTCAGAAGGTATTCAAGGAGATGACCACTTATATGATTCATTTAATATCAACCTTGATGGCTATCTTGATGAGGGAAATCCAGAATTTGAATGTCAATATTGTGGAGCTATGCTATGGTTCAATGAGAGAATAAAGAGAGCTCCATCTAATGAACGGCCAATTTTTTCAATATGTTGCTCCCATGGTAAAGTGTCTGTACCTCATTTACAGACTCCTCCTGAACAGCTCCGTAAACTTTTCTTTGACAAAGGTGATCCAAAATCCAAAAAGTTCCAATCAAGCATTAGAGCATATAATAATATGTTCTGCTTCACTTCAATGGGAGGGAAGATTAACCATTCTCTAAACAGTAATGGTGGGGGACCTTACACCTTTGTCATATCTGGACAGAACCACCACTATATAGGTAGTTTATTACCTGAAGAAGGAGCTAATCCAGTGTACTCTCAATTATATATTTATGATACGGAGCATGAAATAGCAAATCGGCTTTCAGCAATCAGGTATGTTTCTTTTACAAGATTAATAGCACCATCAGTATTTAATATATTTTTTACCAAAAAAAAAATTCAAAAAAATATAGCCAAATATTTGTGATTTGTAATAATGTATTCATTTCAATATTCTTTAATATGTATAGGAATTTATTTTATGGTTTCCTAATTGCTTTTCCATCATTTTTACGTAGTGAATATTTAACACTAACTTTTTTGTTAAAAAAATCATTAACTATTAAACAATGGTCCATGATACATTACGTCACATGATTTCTTCGTTTTTTTAACATCTCTTTTAAATCTATCTATTATAAATTAAAATAAAAAAGTACTATTGTTGATTAGAAGTTAAACCTCACAGCTTATTTTAAATCACATAGGAATCACAGTGAAGTATCTCAAGTGGATGTGACTATAGCACATGAAATCAAAGAATGTCTTGACGAACATAATTCACTGGTCAAAAAATATAGGCATGCATCTAATATACTGAAGAGGGATCGCCATGCAAATGTCAAGATTTGCTTGATAAGGCATATGGGCCCTGACAATAGATGTTATAATCTTCCAACATCATCAGAAGTTGCTGCACTAATAGTTGGTGATTTTGACAGATCATATCACAAGAGAGATATTGTTGTGGAAAAACAAGGGACGCTCAAACGAATAGATGAATTTCACAGGTCATACCTACCATTACAGTACCCACTGTTATTTCATTTTGGAAATAATGGTTATGATCCAAATATTATGCACTCTACTCAATCTCTCTACCACACAAGGAAGAAGAAAAAATTGACTATTAGAAGAAGAGGTGAAACAAATGCATCAATGATTGGAAGAAGAGTTGTTCTTCCATCTTCATTTATAGGTGGTGCAAGATACATGGTGAACAATTTTCAGGATGCAATGGCAATTTGTAAATATGCAGGTTATCCAGATATATTCTTAACATTCACTTGTAATCCTGCTTGGCCGGAAGTAAAGCGTTACTGTACCGATTATGAGCTTAATCAATCAGATTGTCCGCAAATTTTATCAAGGATATTTAAATTGAAATTAGATGCTCTCATGAAAGTTATTAGGGAACAAAAAATATTCGGCAAGATTAGGGCAGGTAATCATCAATTGACCAAGTCCACCTCATATTTATTCCAAAATAAAATTCTGTTATACATTTTTATTATTCACAAGGTTGATTTGGAAGTATGAGATTTTTTAATAATTGTTATGTAATATCTTATTTTATTTTTTTATATTACTGCAGAAATATACACAATCGAGTTTCAAAAGAGAGGATTGCCCCATGCTCATATCATTCTCTTCCTTGAACATGATGACAAGCCCAGAACACCAGAAGATGTGGATAAATTAATATGTGCAGAAATACCAGATAAAGAGTTAGATCCTGAGTTATATGAGCTCGTGGGTAATTACATGATTCATGGTCCATGTGGACACTCTAACAAGAATTCACCTTGCATGAAAGATGGAAAATGCTCGAAGTACTTTCCAAAAAAATATGTCGACAATACAGCTGTTGATGAAGAAGGGTACCCTACATACAGGAGGCGCAAAGATGGAAGGACTATAGAAAAAAAGGGCATACCATTAGATAATAGGTTTGTTGTGCCTTACAATCCACATTTGCTTAGATTATTCCGGGCTCATATTAATGTTGAAAAAACAAACCAGTCAAGAGCAGTCAAATACCTTTTCAAGTACATTAGCAAGGGGAATGACAGAGTTGTTGCAGGGATTTACAGCAATCCTGATACAAGTAGCTCAGAAACTTCATTCGATGAGATATCACATTATCTCAATTGTAGATATGTTTCACCTTGTGAAGCTGCATGGCGTATATTTGCTTTTGACATTCATCATAGATATCCTTCTGTCGAGCGTCTATCCTTTCACTTGCCAGAACAGCAAGTAGTCTACTACTCTGGGAAGTCATCTGTATCATCATTACTAGACAAGCCAAGGATGAAAGAATCGATGTTCTTAGCCTGGATGGACTTGAACAAATCTGGTGGGCTTGCAAAAACAATGACATACATACAGATTCCACAATACTATACTTTTGATAAGAATCAGAGAATATGGAAACCAAGGCAACGAGGATTTGCAGTTGGGAGATTAGCACATGCATCACCAACACAGGGAGAGATCTATTATTTGCGGGTTCTCCTCACCAAAGCACGAGGACCTAAATCGTATGAGGACATTAGAACTGTCGATGGTATTATCCATCCAACTTTTAAATCTGCATGTTATGCCCTTGGTTTGCTCAACGATGATCAAGAATTTATTGATGCAATCAAGGAGGCCTCAATCTGGGCATCTAGACATTACCTCAGAAAATTCTTTGTTAGTATGCTACTTTGCAACTGCTTATCACAACCACTTTTAGTTTGGCAGAAATCTAAGCAACTTATTTTTGAAGATATGTTGTATGTTGCCAGACCTCAACAACAACTATCAGGTAATGACTATCACATATATTATCAAATTATCATTATTTTATAGCATGATATTTTTTAATTATTGGTGCATCCTTATTAATTAATCTTAATAAACTTTAATTTGTTATCATTACATGTAGGAATTAGTATAACTGATGATGAGAAGGAGGAAGTTGCACTGATTGAAATTGAAAGATTACTCAAGAGGAACGGGAAATCTTTGAGTGATTTCCCTTCAATGCCAAAGCCAAAAACAGATACACATATTGATATGAGGAACCATTTATTATTGCAGGAGCTGAACTATGACAGAGACAGCTGTAGATCTGAATCATATAAGTTAAGAGCTTCCTTAACAGATGAGCAATTGAATATATTCAATGAGATCTTGAATGCAATTGACTCATCAAATGAAAATTTCTTTTTTGTTTATGGTTTTGGAGGTACTGGGAAGACATTCTTGTGGAATGCATTGACTGCAACTATTAGGGGAAGAGGTGAAATAGTGATAAACGTTGCATCAAGTGGGATTGCAGCAACGTTATTACCATCAGGCAGGACAGCTCACTCCAGGTTTGCAATACCAATAGATATAACTGAGGAATCAATGTGCAACATATCACACAACTCACCAATGTCTAACCTCATTAGAAATACAAAGTTATTCATATGGGATGAAGCTCCCATGGTTAGGAGATATTGCATTGAAGCTGTTGATAGAACATTTAAAGATATCATGAAGTGTGACCATCCATTTGGGGGAAAGTGTGTTGTCATGGGTGGAGACTTTAGACAAATATTGCCGGTTGTTCCAAAAGGAGGCCGTGCTGATATTGTTGATGCATCAATCAATTCATCTGAACTATGGAATCATTGTAGAATGTTTCAACTTACGAAAAACATGCGCCTATTATCAAGTGGAGATCATGGTGACAATTTGAAAGTCCAACAATTCTCAGAGTGGTTGCTTCAAGTTGGTGAAGGTAAAATAGGACTGCCAAATGAAGGTGTTACAGATATTGAGATTCCAAGTGAGATACTAATCCAATCATCTGATAATCATATTCAATCCATTGTGTCTGTTACTTATCCAAACTTAAAATACCATATCAATAATTCTGAATATCTGACCAACAGAGCAATCCTTGCACCAACTATTGAAGTGGTTGATCAAATAAATGATCATGTTTGTTCAATGCTTGATGGTGAATATGTAGAGTACTTCAGCTCAGATTCAATAACTGCTGCTGATCAAGACGTAGAGTTCCAAGAATTATACACTACTGAATTCTTAAACACCATCAACTGTTCTGGTCTTCCTCCTCATAGATTAGCATTGAAAGTAGGATGTCCTGTCATGCTCATCAGGAACATTGATCAAGCATCTGGTCTTTGTAATGGGACAAGACTTCAAACTACTTTCCTTGGTAAACATTTCATCAAAGCTATAGCATTGAATGGCACAAGTGTTGGTCAAGAAGTCCTCATCCATCGCATGGATATGAATCCATCTGAAACTAAGCTTCCATTCACAATGGTAAGGAGGCAATTCCCCCTCATTATTTCATTTGCAATGACCATAAATAAGAGTCAAGGACAATCAATGACTAATGTTGGTTTATATCTTCCAAGGCCAGTATTCTCACATGGGCAGCTGTATGTAGCAATGTCAAGGGTCAGAAGAATTGATGGTCTAAAGGTGTTGATCGTTGATTCGAATAATAAATCAACCAACATTACTACCAATGTTGTATACAGAGAGATATTTCAGAATGTTCATTGTCATTAGCAGACTAGCTGTTGTTACAGAACTTGAGTCCTATGTTCTTTTTATGCCACATGTTCTGTGATTAACATTAGTCATTATTTTGATGTATCTTTTTTGTTATGTTTAATAGCTCGTAGCTCAATAACACCATGTCATTGTATTATTAGCATCCAGTTTTTTAAAATCAAAATATTATCAAATGACGGTGGGAAATAAAAATTATGAAACATATTTTCTATCAGAATTTTTAGAATAACTAATATCAACTCCACCTGAAATAAAAAAATATGAAGAAGGTTATGAACTCAACTCCATCCTAACCTTCCTCATGTACAACTTGAACACGACTTCTTTAGCATTAAAAACAATATAACTCTGTCACCAAGTACGCAATATTACAAAACATAAATTCATATTTTTGTTAGAATGGCAACTTCGTTGGAATTATGGCAAAATGAGAGAATGGGCTAGGTGATCTTTATTAAAAAATTTGTTTACAAAACATATACACAACAGGGAATAATATAAAATAGATATTGCTAACACATTTCTCTTCCGAAAAAAGTCTATCACAATTGCTTTGTTTTTACTAGAACGCAGTTTTAAAAATACTTACTTCCCTTAATTACTAATGTTTTCAACGCAATTACTTACTCTTTACAATTTAAAATATTCTCATCCTCTATTGAATCAAATTACTTTGTTAGTTTACAATACACTTTAGACAAATCGCGCATCGCGCGGGGGTATAAACTAGTTTCTTCCAAATTAAAGACAATGTACTCTCTGCGTTCTCATAAAATCAAGCTCGAGATTATGACATCTTCTATGAAGATTAACACCTGTTGACCTGTGTGTGTTTTCCTTTGTCACAACATAAAAATGCCAGGAGAATATGGAAAATAATATCGCCAACATTGATGAAGAACCTAGAATTTCAAATTAATTTGATGCGATCCTAATACGTTATTTTGACTTGTAGAAAATTGGCCGCCTTTAACCGCATGTTGTTTGAAAATAGAAAAGTATGCAGATTAGGCTACTGATTTTCTTTCATTCTAAGGGTTAAGGTGCAAATTTGCTTCAAAAGTTTTTACTTAGCAACTCTAGGAAATCAGAATTTTTTAGAGAAATTTGCTCTGAAAGTTTAATCTTGCCCTCTATCATTAAAAATATTAATTGTCATTATTAATATTGCTACGATATTAAACTTTCGGGATAAATTTACATTTTAGCCTAATGAAAGACTGAGAATATCTTAGGTTGGGTTTCAATATATGCCTTTGTGTGCTTAAGTGTCAACATAAAATTTTGAAAAATCAAATGCTGGTTATTTTCAACGACAGCCCTATCAGCAAAATCAAATAAGCCTTTTTCTTTCTCTGTTATGATTGTCAAATGCGTGCCCGCAAATGTTGCGATATGAAAAGAATAATCCTAATATGATTCCATCTTCTCTTAGCTTGCCTGAAAGTGTTTAATTTGACTCAAATTTATCAGAATCCCACCTACTTGCATGATTCTCTATATATACAAATCGTTTTGGGAAAGAAGATCTATACATCATTAATCCACTTCGGCAAAGTATCAATAATGGAGAAAGCAACTCAAATCGCCGTCGTAGCCAGTCCTGGATTCAGCCATCTTGTTCCCCTTCTTGAATTCTTCAGGCGACTAGTTCATCTTCATCCAGATTTTCAGGTCACCTGCATCATTCCTGCACTTGAATCTCCCCCAAGTTCCTCCATAGCCTACCTTCAAACTCTTCCTTCAAATATAGACTCCATTCTTCTCCCACCAATACCCAAAGAAAAACTACCTCAAGGTGTTATTCCAGGAGTCCAAGTTCAACTCACTGTGACTCTGTCACTTCCATATATTCTCAACGAATTGAAGTCCATGAAATCCAGAAATGGCCTTGCAGCTTTGGTTGTTGATGGTTTTGCCTTCGAAGTTCTAGACTTTGCTTCAGAACTCAACATCTCCTCTTACATTTACCTCCCTCAAGCTGCTATGATATTGTCGCTCTATTATTATTCGTTAACTTTGGATGAGACAGTTTCTTCTGAGTTCAGAGACCTAAAGGAACCCATAAAGTTCCCCGGTTGTGTTCCAATTCCTGGCAAAGATCTCCCTGCTCCATTTCAGGATCGATCCAGTTTAGGCTACAAGCAATTTCTTGAACGTGCCAGAAAACTCCGTCTTGCTGATGGAGTTCTACTCAACAGCTTCCAAGAATTGGAACCAGATACAGTTAGAGCCATACATGAAGAAATCCAAGGGAAGGAGAAGAAGCCTCAGATTTATCTAGTTGGACCCATTATACAAAGTGGGTCAAGCAACGAGGCAAATGGGTCGGATCACTCAGTTTGTTTAACATGGTTGAACAATCAACCACATAAATCTGTTCTTTATGTTTCATTTGGGAGTGGCGGGACACTATCTCAAGATCAGACCAATGAACTGGCTCACGGATTGGAACTAAGTGAAACAAGATTCTTATGGGTTCTTAGAGCTCCAAGTAAAGTTTCTAGTGCTGCTTATCTTGATACCTTAAATCAGAATCCTCTAGATTTCTTACCAGAAGGGTTTCTGGAGAGAACTAAGGAACGAGGTTTGGTTGTTCCTTCATGGGCACCACAAATTCCAATCCTTAAACACAGTTCAGTTGGTGGATTCTTGAGTCACTGTGGCTGGAGCTCAACGCTTGAGAGTATTGTTCATGGCGTTCCGCTCATAACTTGGCCACTTTTTGCAGAACAGAGAATGAATGCTGTCTTTCTGAATGATGGTTTAAAGGTGGCTTTAAGGCCGAAATTAATGAGAATAAAGGGATGGTGGAAAGGGAAGAGATCGCAAAAGTTGTGAAGAGTCTGATAAATGATGAAGAAAGTAGTGAGATTCGAATGAGAATTAAAGTTTTGAAAGATTCTGCTGCCAATGCACTCAAAGAAGATGGGTCCTCCTCAATGAATCTCTCTACGTTTGCCATGAATTTAAGAAAGACTTGCAGCTGAAGCTATCAAAGTTTATATTTCCTCCTAAATATAAGAGTTAATTTGTATTGCAATTTGCACTACAAATTAGCTCTTATATTTATGATTGAAATAGTGTCACACATGAGCTAGTTAAGACATAAGATTGTCAGATTTATTTTGCTTTTGGATCTAATTTTGGTTTTTATGTTTTGCGTAATGATTCAGTCAGTATAATGACACATGAAACAAACTATTCATGTTGTGTTTATTTTTATTTTTATTTTTTCGTGTAAATTGAAAAAAATTTGAAATAGCTTAATTGTGTGATATAGAGTTAAACAGAAAAAGATACTAAAATACCCTAAAAATACTAAAAGATAAATTGGGATGGGTGAATTTTAAAATTCCAAATCAAGCCCCTTATATTATTTTGAAATTTTAAAATATTGTGAAATGACAACATTGTTTATTCCTCCAGTGACTAGTTTTATATGGCTATTGACTACTCTAATTTCACTATTAATTATTTTTGCTTGCAAATTTTCGATGACTTTGCATAGCTATTGACTATGTACAAGAGTAGTAAATAACTAAACAAAAAGTAGTCATTACATCTCCAATAGCACTTAATGCATTTTTTGAATTTTTGAAACAAAGGTAGTCAATAGCAAAACTAGAATAGTTAATAAATAAACAAGAGTAGTCACCAAATTTGTAAAAATAAAAATAGTGAATTGCAATACTAGAATAGTCAAAAGCTAAATTAAAGTAGTCATCAGTGCTATAAAAACAAATACAATCAATAGCTAAAAATAAGTAATTAATACATAAAAAAGAGTAATCATTAGGGCTCTAGCGACTGGTCACTGAAGTTCTAGTGACATGCATGTCATCTGAGCTTTGGCTGCCAACTACACGAAGGGTCGTCGACGCTGAAGTACCAAAAACCGAAAACCAGCTAAGGGTGTTGAGGTGGCAATATTAAAAATAAAAAAATAGTTAAGGGTATTTGTGTGATTTCGTAAGATTTGAAATTTTAAAAATAATACAAAGGGTTTGAATTGATATTATGAAATTTACCCACATTGATTTATTTTTTTAGCAATTTTCAGAGTATTTTATTCTCTTTTTTCTTAGAGTTAATATTATTATATATTGATGGGTAAGCAAAATTTGAACGGAATGGATAAATATATGAAATATAGAAGACTCATTTCATGATAAACCTTATTTTAAATAAATTTAAAAAATAATAACCCCCAACCATACAGACTCATAGAGTTATCTATGTGTGTGTAAATATATACATAGTTTTTTAATAATTATTCTATTTGTTAGAGTAAATAGTATAATGTAAATAATCAAATAATATATATCAGCTTTAATATCATATTTTCTAATAGTTGATATATTAATCCAATACTTATTATAATTCGCTTATAAGTCATCCTCATATACTAAGGAATGCATTAAATTGATACTAATATAACCCTCAACAACAACAACTAATTTTATTCCACTAAATAACATTAGTTACATAGATCATCACACAACATATTTATATTTTATCAGAAATAAACTTTTTAGACAGATCTCATTCAATTACTTTCTAGTATTGTGTACTGATGAATCTTGCAACTCAATTCAGTTTGGGATAATGATTTGGAGAACCTTTTAAGAGCATTAATTATAATTAAGGACTAACTTTAGAAATCTCAAAACAGAAGACAAAGATCCTTGGTTTGTTCGTTTTTTTTTTTTTTTTTTTTCTTTTTTGACCTCATGAATTGGTTCTTTCAATATTTATCTTATTAATATTTTTAATATAATATATAGTCTTCAATGTGTAACTTCTATTACTATATCGATGATTACGATTTACGAGACGTTATTTAAAATAATGTTGATATTTGTTCAAATTTCAGCTTACTTTATTTTCTTTATTGTAATTTTAATTCTTAACTCTTCATGACATCTTACCCTTACCGTTTAATTTAGCCGGAATGACTTAAATTAATTATGGATAATACTTATATTAAATTT